AGTTGGATAAACATGGGTTCTATTAAGTATCTGTATTATTTTAGATAGATATTTTACTAAAGAAAAACAGGCTCAACCAATATCTGAAGCCCTAGGAAACTTGGTAGTTATAAACAGTTTTAAATTGTGTACCGGTTTTTATTTCGCATTACAGATAAACTGATTCTGTGAAAAATCGAAATCTGTTCTGTGGACGCCTTTCCTCTATACAGATAACGTTTCAGATCTCCTGTCTTTACTGACAATGTTTCTGATTTCCCTGTCTTTACTGACAATGTTTCAGATCTTCTGTCTTTACTGACAATGTTTCAGATCTTCTGTCTTTACTTACAATGTTTCAGATCTTCTGTCTTTACTTACAATGTTTCAGATCTCCTGTCTTTAGATCTCCTGTCTTTACTGACAATGTTTCAGATCTTCTGTCTTTACTTACAATGTTTCAGATCTTCTGTCTTTACTTACAATGTTTCAGATCTCCTGTCTTTACTGACAATGTTTCTGATTCCCTCTCTTTACTGACAATGTTTCTGATTCCCTCTCTTTACTGACAATGTTTCTGATTCCCTCTCTTTACTGACAATGTTTCTGATTTCCCTGTCTTTACTGACAATGTTTCAGATCTTCTGTCTTTACTGACAATGTTTCAGATCTTCTGTCTTTACTTACAATGTTTCAGATCTCCTGTCTTTACTGACAATGTTTCTGATTCCCTGTCTTTACTGACAATGTTTCAGATCTTCTGTCTTTACTTACAATGTTTCAGATCTCCTGTCTTTACTGACAATGTTTCAGATCTCCTGTCTTTACTGACAATGTTTCTGATTTCCTGTCTTTACTGACAATGTTTCTGATTCCCTCTCTTTACTGACAATGTTTCTGATTCCCTCTCTTTACTGACAATGTTTCTGATTTCCCTGTCTTTACTGACAATGTTTCAGATCTTCTGTCTTTACTGACAATGTTTCAGATCTTCTGTCTTTACTTACAATGTTTCAGATCTCCTGTCTTTACTGACAATGTTTCTGATTCCCTCTCTTTACTGACAATGTTTCTGATTCCCTCTCTTTACTGACAATGTTTCTGATTCCCTCTCTTTACTGACAATGTTTCTGATTTCCCTGTCTTTACTGACAATGTTTCAGATCTTCTGTCTTTACTGACAATGTTTCAGATCTTCTGTCTTTACTGACAATGTTTCTGATTCCCTGTCTTTACTGACAATGTTTCTGATTCCCTCTCTTTACTGACAATGTTTCTGATTTCCCTGTCTTTACTGACAATGTTTCAGATCTTCTGTCTTTACTTACAATGTTTCAGATTTCCTGTCTTTACTGACAATGTTTAAGATTTCCTGTCTTTACTGACAATGTTTCTGATTCCCTCTCTTTACTGACAATGTTTCTGATATCCTGTCTTTACTGACAATGTTTAAGATTTCCTGTCTTTACTGACAATGTTTAAGATTTCCTGTCTTTACTGATGACATTTCAGATTTCCTGTCTTTACTGAAAATGTTTAAGATCTCCTGTCTTTACTGATGACACTTCAGATTTCCTGTCTTTACTGAAAATGTTTAAGATCTCCTGTCTTTACTGATGACATTTCAGATTTCCTGTCTTTACTGACAATGTTTAAGATTTCCTGTCTTTACTGATGACATTTCAGATTTCCTGTCTTTACTGAAAATGTTTAAGATCTCCTGTCTTTACAGACAAAGTATGTGATCTATCTTTGAAAAGTGTCATTTCTCAATTCCTCAGAGACATACTATTGTATTTCTTGTTTTTATAGACAATGCATTAGATTGTCTTCACAGACAATGTGTCATATTGTCTTCACAAACAATGTGTCACATCTCCATATCTTACAGATAACGTTAAAGTTCTTCTTTCCTTACAGACAATGTGTCAGATGAACTCCTTTCCTTACAGACAATGTGTCAGATCTCTTTCCTTACAGAAAGTGTGTCACATCTCCATTCTTTACAGATAACGTTAAAGTTCTTCTTTCCTTACAGACAATGTGTCAGATGAACTCCTTTCCTTACATACAATGTGTCAGATCTTTTTCCTTACAATGTGTCAGATGATCTCCATTCCTTACATACAATGTGTCAGATCTTTTTCCTTACAATGTGTCAGATGATCTCCATTCCTTACATACAATGTGTCAGATCTTTTTCCATACAATGTGTCAGATGATCTCCATTCCTTACATACAATGTGTCAGATCTTTTTCCTTACATACAATGTGTCAGATGATCTCCATTCCTTACATACAATGTGTCAGATCGTTTTCTCCCTAGAGACAGTGTCTTGTGTCTGCTGCCTTTACAGACGATATCTAAGATATATTGTTTCAGTGCTTGACTGAACTTGATTATAGATACAATTCTGGAGGAACTCACTTTCATTACCTCTAACGCTTACCTAAATGACTCGCGGTATTCACCGTAATTCTGTTCTGTCAAATATGTTCTCAACGCGATTCGAACATGCATATGTATATTTAGGCATGTCGAACACTTTTCAAATGGGTCAAATTGGGTACATGTATGTAAAAACCATATGTCTGGGATGTGGCATCGTGTTTACAGTATAGCTTAGACACCAGAGTCTGTCTCCTCATTACCGACGGAGCACAGATAAAAATGATAAGATTTTCAAATCAAAATAGAATTTTCCTCATTAAGTCCTAATTGGACTAACTAGAGGAGGCAGGCAACTCGTAGGAAGCAATTTGTCGGGGTGCCTTCATTATTTGTGGCAACCCCTCATGAAAGAGAGGAGTTAAGCAACTGATATTTTCTTTCTTATTTTTCACAGGATTTTCATCCAAATTGGACGTTTAATGAACGCCCGTTATGTATCGGTATTATGTTCTCAACTATATCGGTAACATCCCTTACAGATAAAGTTTGGGATGTGAAGGACTGCTCAGTCCCCCGAGATATTCGTTATATGACGGCTTGGATTCTTATCATTAGTTTGTAATTGGTCATTAGTCCCCTGCTCCAGTTCCCCTCCCCCTCCCCCCAGAGATAACGATCACACGGAACCTCAAACCACACCGTCCTAATATAAAAAAATAGCCACTCATTTTCAAAAGACGCACCATTTTATGTTGATGGTGTTAGAATTCTTTGTGAACGAATGCCTTAATTATCCTGACGTGTAATTCTTTACTGCGCCCGATTGTCTTTTGCTTTCATTTTAAATAACCCACTAGTTAACGCCGATTTAGAATTTCGGGTGAAATAAGTTTCAAATAATCCCAGATGGCGCGAGTGACAGCCATGAAGGGCCTTAATTAAACTTCCTGCCTGGAGAGTTCCAATGAAGCACAAATTGGGTCCTAATTATGGCCATTAGGAGAAAGAACCTTTTCAGACGCTTTAAATTTGTTTAGCAATGTATTTAGTTTACTAGCCCTAGCCCTATTACAAACTTCCCTGCTAACTGAATTTGAAAGATGAATACACACGGAGGAAGAGTGGAAACGTTTACATTTGTAGTTGTATAGGGTGAGCACTGCGAGGTAATTCAGCGTCTTTCTAGGTGTCAAATTAACATGTTAAAGTTAAATATGTAAACCAATATCCGATCATTCTAACGAACATCAGCTGTCAAAATAAGTTGCACATGTTGAAAAGAAGTTGGCGGTAATTGTTAATTTACAAGTAGCGTTATCATGGAAACCGCCAAATTAAACATAATATACGGAGATATTTTTTCTGATTATTTGAGATGATTTGGTGTTTTACACGAATGCCCTGTACCGCGTACTACACATCGCCTTATCGTAAGTCAGATCGATATGTCACGTATAGAGACTTACTTAAGCCTCTGTTTGATCTAACTGTCGTTATAGACGAATCATGTTCGAGAACTTGATGGAAATCATAATATGATGCCATTTTTTTTAAAGAAATGCGAGAAACTGTTTGTAGAATTGATTTTGTTCATCCGAGGGCCCAGATTCGTCAAATTCTCCCCTCTTATACAAAATGACCAAGACAAATGTCAATTGCGTGTTACACATGTTACACTGTCAATGGAAATAGATAAATACACAATTTATCAGTACCTTCCTTTCTATCAGAAAAAATCTAAATTTTACGGAAGTAGGAATAAGCAATTAATAAGAAGAATAAGTTTTTTCTCAACTTTCATTTCGTTTTAATTATTCATGACTTTTTCCGAGGACGAAAAACCCGAAAAAAAAAAAATTAGGGTAGGTTTTTGTGAGTTTACTAATGAACACATAATTTGATACATGCAGTTGATCAAATGTTAATAATTCTGATTTATTCAAAGGCTTTTATACCGTATTGAACAATTCAAAAACATCGATGTTAATGTCAAAATATTTGTCACAAAAATACGAAATCTTTGTTCAGGAACACTCGGACATCATACCATATCAATCGGTTTAACAAAGGACTTAGATCAAAAGCGGGCGAGTAGGAAAGATTTATAAACACCATGATTGATGTGATCTGTGATAAATGATTAATCGGAAGTTTTAAAAGAAAGATTGTTCCAAGTAAGGACGACAATCAAACATCGAAAAGAAGCCATGTTTAATATGATGATATTACTTCAGTAACATTTCTGTTCTATGTTTCAAATATCGTTATTGGACCCTTACTTATCGATCACTAGGTTATGTACAAAATTTATTCAACTTTGCTTTCATACCAAGCGTGTCATAATTCAGAAACAAACTGTGAAAAATAGATAAAGTTGTTCCCTGATAAGAATTACAAATAGTACAGAAAGTTGAGTATAAAATATAGGAATACAAATGAGATTAGGTGATGTTACATTGCTGGAAGATAGACCATGAAGAAAACATTCGAATTGTGTGTCGTCTTCCATAATTATAAGGATAATAAAGCAAAAATATTAAGTTATGCAATATCAATACATACAACATATACGTATTAATTAGAATTGTCCTTTAATTAGTAAGTTAATCGAGTCCATTTTACTTTACAGGTATGCTGAATCTGAGGCAATCATAATGACGTCACTCTGAGGACTTATTCAAATCAATTCGCTCAACGTTATAAAGGAACTAGTATATAAAAAAATCTTTATGCTGTTTAGAGACGAAATTCTGATTTTCGCCGTGCTTGTTAATGACCAAGTGGTGAGGTACACGGAACACGGATTGAACATGTGGAGATTGTGTAGAGACTTCCGGTATGGGACCAATTGATGACGACTGTCGATATCAAGGGATAGTGACAGTATTGCCGTGATCCTGTTCGACTTTCTGTAATACTGGCATAGCCTGCACGTTTCACTTCTAGTCGTAGTTGACATAACGAGACTTGCTGAAGAAATCACGTGATATACCTTGTGACAAATCATGTGACTTGAAATTGTAAAAGTAGTGTTTTCGACCTACTTTACAATAATGCATGCCTTCGCCGTCATACTGGTGTTCGTTTGTTATTGAAATAAGTGTTAAATCAAAGACATACTTTTATCTTGAAATCTCATCAGTGTACTTTAATTGACTTTTAACTGGTCAAAGAATGGACGTTGTGGGTACATTACAACAAAAACACTTTTCATTTATCAGACCAGTGTTCTGATCCATGTAAGGAGATTCATGGTTTCAGAATATTTCCATGGAAACGTGGAAACAAGTCACGAGTATGATCTTCATATTCCTTGCCAGAATATGGCATGCTGTTTTAATATTCAAATGTAGTTAAATGATAAATCCGCACGAGACTGGGTACATACAGTATGGTAGGTGTGTAAATTATTGGATGACAACCATGTCGCACGATTGTTATATAATACAACATTTCAGTATATACTAGGACGGATATAAAAAGTGGTTTGTTTATGAAGATTTCTTACCAAATCTTTATTCTTTGTGGCCTATACATCCAAAACATATTTGGAATTGCAACATCCTACATACACACTAAATCTTGTTCAAATTACATGTACACGTTTTTCGGAACTCTAGTGCTTTCATTCAAAGGGTGTGTAACTGTGTAACAGGTTTGTAAATGCTAACCGTTATTGCTCACCCCGTAACCACGGATATTTGTAACACCCAGTATTGTAACCCTACCCACAAATGTTACTGTTACACTACTGGGCACATTAAGTGTGTCCTAAATATTCAAAATCGCTTTTATCGTCTAATTGTTTCTTCTCGTAGAAACTAGTGGTCTCGCTTTTTTACGAGGAGGACCTGAAACATTGCGGTTTCTTATTTTTAAAAAAAAATTAAATATCTCAAATCAAAACAGAATTTTTTAAAAGCAACAAAGAAATTGTTCGCGGCTCCTCTCGGTTTTTCATTTCTACAAGAGTTAATTATATGTATGTTAAAAGTGGGTTACTGGAGTAACTGTTATCAAAAGAGGATATTTCCTTATATGTCTATCTTAACTGTCTTAAGTGTTGGGCAGTGCCTTTAATAGGTACCGGCTGATATATCCCGAGTGTTTTTTTTCCTTCGGAACGCTGTTACGCATGCTTGTACAAGTATCATTTATCAGTTTGCATAATGGAAATGCAAATATATGTGATTTTGTTCATTATAATAGATAATGACTCGGGCGGTTTTAACTTGTTAAACACGTGTTGTGAAGAACACGTGCACGTGTTGTATGTGTCTGTATAATACATACGAGTACAGCCGCTTCACTTACTATACTTACATATATGTACATGATCGATAATTGTTTTGATGATATGTTATGGAACATTGTGATGTGAATTATGTTACGTAAGAAAGATGTGCTGTGAAATTTTCTTGAAATCCATTCAGAATAAAACTGTTATGAAAAAACATAATGTTTTATACATCATTTAGATTATACTCTATACTGTGTCACTCTCCTTCCATTTTTATTAGCAGTTCAAACTCATTTGTGAATGTATCTGTATCTATTCCTTAACCCAGGCAACAATCAAAGAACAATATCTCTGTTATACTGTTATAATGGAATTCAAAGTGACGATTTAATCTGTGATATTGCTAATTGACATGTATAAATGAGATGATTCCACATCTAATCAAATTGGTAAGGTAGATAACTCTTACAAAATATTGTGTAATACACAAAGCGTAGCATACATCCTTAAGTCCTTATATGTCATTACTATACTGTTGATATTGTTTATATATTTTATCTATATCTACATATCGTGTAAAATGTACATCAGTGTAAGTCAGACGTCTTTAAAACCTAGCATTAACACTTTGAAGTTTTGGAAAGCCCTGTTTTAACGGAACCAAGCCATAAGTCAAAATGACTAACAGAAATGCCGATTACGTATTAATATCTATTGTCAGCACATAAAAGGAAGTGTTCACACACATAAACCTTCATTGGAAATTATTTCGAACAAAAAATACAGAAATATAAAGCACCACTTTTACTAGTATAGATAGGTACTTCAGAAAGATTCCCAACATATTTCCAAACACATGTACGTGTAGCTGTCTTTACTTATGCCAGCGGGATGTTCTGAGTGATAAGTCTGTTGTAAGTAGATTTTAATCATTTGTTAAATTGGTCAGTTTCTCTAGCATAGTTGTTTAGGTAGTCAGTATTAAAAAATAGCCATATAATGTCTTCTATATGTATAGAAAAATCAGTGGGACATTGTTTGTTCTGAAGCAAATATAGGACCGGCTCAGAAGGGAGGAGAACTAGCTCTTTTCCATGGTAATTCAAGCGGTGAACACATCGCTACTGTTAGAATCCATTTGAAGGTGCCTGGAAATCAATATTTTATATGCTAAATGAAAACAGATAGTGTATGTTTACCAATTTTCAAACGTACATTATCCTAAACATACGTAAGGTTCTTTTAATATCTTTTCGTGTAATCTATGTTATTACTTCAAATGTTCACTAAATTTTAAATTCTGTTTGCTATCGTTAAGCACTTTTTCAGCCTTTCATCATAATAACCGATCTTTGGACCGTTTACCACTGCGCGCGCACCTAGTTTTCGTTTCGCTTCTTTACTGTTTACACATAGCACCACCTGGTGCATTGTAGAAACCGATTCAAATCTTTCTAAATCAAATTCGTTGTACAACGAATTGCAGCAGTCTATATGTCTTAGGTAAACAGAATTGTAACCGAGAAATAAAACCAGCAGGATTTTCTTACGTTTAGAAGCGATAGTGACTTGATATCCGGTAGAGGCGGGGACAGGTGCTAAGTGAACAAATCGGAACGAAAGTATCAGGACTGCTTTGCATCGGTCAGCGCTGTTTGATGACGAAAGATCAAGGTCAAGTTGACAATATACGCAAGACAATTCCGTTTATATTCCGTGATTAATGAAGGACGTCTTAGAGGAAAGAGGGAAAACATGATATACCGCTAGAGACTTTCAAAAGATGCATGGCAGTCTTCATATGAAATAAATGCATTTTCGAAGCGAAACTAGTTCTGTTCCTGATGCACCTTGAACACATTTTTTTCTCAATTTGTGGAACCGTTATTTATCGTGGACATGATTAATGGTATCCATCCCGACCTTTAGTTTGAGACAGAAAAGTGTCAACCGAAGGTTTTAATTTCAACATGTCGAGGTTGCGAAATTTTTAAGTGTTTCCGAGAGTTGATATATCACAACCATAAAGTGGGGAATGGTATTTTTTCTCTCGCTTCCATTTTCTTTGACTTTGTATATGATTTTTGGTGATTTAACGTGGACGGCGTAAGAATATGATGCATTCTGAAGACGTGTAAACAAGATCAAACGTTTCACTCATGTCTTCTTTAGACAGGAACAACATATAGGCCAAGGAAATAAAGCACGGACTCTTTTATATGCATGTTATAAATTGATTGGAAATGTTTATTATCAACTTTCGAATTTTCATTGAAGAAACATTTAGTAGACCTAGCAGACGCTTCCATTCTTAATGTCAAAGGTCACAACTAGTCCGCACCTTACAACGTAGACAAGGAACTTCCTGTTTGAGGTCAGAGTGCTTATTAATTTCGAACTAGAACGTCAATCGGAAACAAGTCGTAAATTTCCATGAAAATTTAAGTTTTAAATCATGTCACGATTCGTTCCTGAATAATACAACGACAATTAGTGGACCATAAGGTGGGAGTTTTAGGAAGTGGGGTGTGAAACGAAAATGTTCCTAAATGATGTTCCAGGAACGTCGGAAAGACCCTCAAAGCAAATAGCGTCGGTAGTTATAAGTAACAAACACACAGATAGGTGATTGCATGTCAAGTTACTGAAATCATTAATATGTAGAAGTTACACATCCTCGATACTCCAGGGGTTACGATCATTTTCGCTCTCTGCACCCCTGGAACATGTCATAGGAAATTGAAGGCACACGCCAGGAGAAAAGAAAAACCTGACCAATCGTTGACCAATCATAGGCTGATACGCTCGTTTTGAAGATTACAAAGGAGCGAAACCAAACATCAAAGCTATTTCAATATACCGTTATGCGACCTCGATATTAGTTTGATGTACATCAAAGGATCAAACTAGTCATATCCACGAGTGTCGAACATGGAATCTTCTATGCTCCAGGGGTGTAGAGATTGATAGTAAGCGTAACTCCTGGAATATCGAGGATGTTACCATGTCTTGTTCTGATCGTAAATGTGTGCTTGGTGTGAACGTGTCGTGTTGAACTGATTGTGTTGTGTATGGTTACCGTGTCGTGTTGGTCTGGCTGTGGTGGTGTGTATTGTTATTGTGTCGTGTTGGTCTGACTGGTGTTTATGGTTACCGTGTCTTGTTGGTCTGACTGTTGTGGTGTGTATGGTTACCGTATCGTGTTGGTAAGACTTGTGGTGATGTGTATGGTTATTTTGTCGTGTTGGTCTGACTGTGGTGGTGTGTATGGTTACCGTGTCGTGTTGGTCTGACTGTGGTGGTGTGTATGGTTACCGTGTCGTGTAGGTCTGACTTAGGTGGTGTGAATGGTTACTGTGTCGTGTTGGTCTGACTGTGGTGGTGTGTATGGTTACTGTGTCGTGTTGGTCTGACTGTGGTGGTGTGTATAGTTACCAGGTCGTATTGGTCTGACTTTGATGGTGTTTATGGTTACCTTGTCGTGTTGGTCTGACTGTGTTGGTGTGTATGGTTACCGTGTCGTGTTGGTCTGACTGATGTGGTGTGTATGGTTACCATGTCGTGTTGGTATGACTGTGGTGGTGTGTATGGTTACCGTGTCATGTTGGTGTGACTGTGGTGGTGTGTATGGTTACCATGTCGTGTTGGTCTGACTGATGTGGTGTGTATGGTTACCGTGTCGTTTTGGTCTGACTGTTGTTGTGTGTATGGTTACCGTGTCGTGTTGGTCTGACTGTGATGGAGTGACTTAGGTGGTTTGTATAGTTACCGTGCCATGTTGGTATGACTTGTGGTGATGTGTATGGTTATTTTGTCGTGTTGTTCTGACTGTGGTGGCGTATGCAGTTATTGTGTCGTGTTGGTCTGGCTGTGGTGGTGTGTATTGTTATTGTGTCGTGTTGGTCTGACTGGTGTTTATGGTTACCGTGTCGTGTTGGTCTGACTGTTGTGGTGTGTATGGTTACCGTATCGTGTTGATATGACTTGTGGTGATGTGTATGGTTATTTTGTCGTGTTGGTCTGACTGTGGTGGTGTGTATAGTTACCAGGTCGTGTTGGTCTGACTGTGTTGGTGTGTATGGTTACCGTGTCGTGTTGGTCTGACTGATGTGGTGTGTATGGTAACCGTGTCGTGTTGGTCTGACTTTGGTGGTGTGTATGGTTATTGTGTTGTGTTGGTCTGACTGATGTGGCATTTATGGTTTCCGTGTCGTTTTGGTCTGGCAGTTGTTGTGTGTATAGTTACCGTGTCGTGTTGGTCTGACTGTGATGGAGTGACTTAGGTGGTGTGTATGGTTACCGTGTCGTGTTGGTCTGACTGTGATGGAGTGACTTAGGTGGTGTGTATGGTTACCGTGTCGTGTTGGTATGACTTGTGGTGATGTGTATGTTGTCGTGTTGGTCTGACTGTGATGGCGTATGTGGTTAATGTGTCGTGTTGGTATGACTTTGGTGGTGTGTATGGTTACCGTGTCGTGTTGGTATGACTTTTGGTGATGTGTATGGTTATTTTGTCGTGTTGGTCTGACTGTGGTGGTGTGTATGGTTACCGTGTCATGTTGGTGTGACTGTGGTGGTGTGTATGGTTACCATGTCGTGTTGGTCTGACTGATGTGGTGTGTATGGTTACCGTGTCGTGTTGGTCTGACTTAGGTGGTGTGTATGGTTACTGTGTCGTGTTGGTCTGACTGTTGTGGTGTGTATGGTTACCGTATCGTGTTGATATGACTTGTGGTGATGTGTATGGTTATTTTGTGTTGGTCTGACTGTGGTGGTGTGTATGGTTACCGTGTCGTGTTGGTCTGATGTGGTGTGTGTATGGTTACCGTGTCGTGTAGGTCTGACTTAGGTGGTGTGTATGGTTACTGTGTCGTGTTGGTCTGACTGTGGTGGTGTGTATAGTTACCAGGTCGTATTGGTCTGACTTTGATGGTGTTTATGGTTACCTTGTCGTGTTGGTCTGACTGTCGTGTTGGTCTTACTGATGTGGTGTGTATGGTTACCGTGTCGTGTTGGTCTGACTGTGGTGGTGTGTATGGTTATTGTGTCGTGTTGGTCTGACTGATGTGGTGTTTATGGTTTCCGTGTCGTTTTGGTCTGGCTGTTGTTGTGTGTATGGTTACCGTGTCGTGTTGGTCTGACTGACTTGGTGGTGTGTATGGTTACCGTGTCG